CCCCCCCCCCCCCCCCCCAGACTTCTGACCCAACGCCCTTGGCCACGACGGTTGGTGCCATATGGCTGGTGCCGTAGCTGCTACGTTGTGTTGTTGGGGCCATGTGGTTGGGCTGCGTAAGGCATGACGATGGGGTGTTTTGGGCGGCGCCGCTTGGGCAGGTTCTGGGTGCCAATTGGACCGCGTGCAAATGCGAAACATTGTTTTTTAAAGCTCCCAGAAGGGGTTGCCGTAATCTTCGTGACTATGCTCGCCAACAATCGAATTATGTTGTTTGCAGCAGGAGTGTGCAGGATTGCAAGCTCGGCTTGGTGATGACCTGCCCAGATCCAGTGGGCAGGTGGGTGGCCGGGGAGGGGGTTGAGGTTCTGGGTGCCAATTGGACCGCGTGCAAATGCGAAACATTGTTTTTTAAAGCTCCCAGAAGGGGTTGCCGTAATCTTCGTGACTATGCTCGCCAACAATCGAATTATGTTGTTTGCAGCAGGAGTGTGCAGGATTGCAAGCTCGGCTTGGTGATGACCTGCCCAGATCCAGTGGGCAGGTGGGTGGCCGGGGAGGGGGTTGAAGGAAAGGCTGTGCAGAAATCGCGGCTGGCAATGTGAAGCGATGGGGCCCGCTCGCCTCCTGGGCCCCCCTCCGGGCCAGCGGATTATTCCTCATTGGGGCGGTCTCTTCTGGCAGTAGGTTGAACGGCTCTCTGTCGCCCTGGTGTGGTCCGAGGTCTGCGTCCGATTGTCGCATTGTCAACGGGCCTGCTTCCCGCGTGCCCTCGCCCCTTCCCCGAGCCACCACGAGGGCCCCAGTGCGTGGGCCAAAGTTGTGGGAACGTTGGTGGCGGCAGTGGGCCGGCAAGCACCTTTTAGTACTATTTACATGGTTTTCGGGCCCCTTGTATCCAACGCAGTAGCATGAGGGTTTGCCCCGCGATATCACTGCTGCAACGCGCGCACGCCATTTCTACGCAACCACACCGACGCACCCGCATGTATTCGCACTGCAACGTTGCAACCAACATTGGGCACTCAAAACATCTGTCGCACTAGCCGTGACCACAGTTGACAGCGTATCCAAATCGCCGTTTGGCCCCAAATATATCCTAGAGTATTGGTGTCCGTGATGCTATAGTTTCCTACCCAGAGGTCATGCCGCCAGCCCCGATGTCACCGCCAACGCTCGATCACTCTGGTTCATCTCACCTGCCCGTGACCATCCCCGAGCTTCCAGAGGATTATATTGCTGAGTTCGCCCTGGAGATGGTGACGGTGACGGTCGTAGGTAGCAAGCCCCGCGATGCAGAGGATGTGGGGCAGAGGCAGAGTGATCAGTTATCCCCGCTGCGCGAGCCATCGCCCATGCGTCCTGGCCAAGGTGATCGCGACGAGGCGCAGCGGCCAAACTCGAGTCCACCAGGCGGCGTTCAGCTTGAAGATTCTGCTGCAGGGTACATGCATGAAACGGCCTGCGGTGACGAGTGCGTCGTTGAGTCGCAGTGGAGGCTTGAGGCTGGAGGCTGGAGGCCGAAGCAAGCAGAGACCGTGCCGGCGGACGTAGAGGATTCGGATGAGCAGGTGGGCGACGCTCCGAAGCGAACACACCCACCAACGGAGCTGCCCACTGCGTTGTCCTCTTCCGCCTATGTAGGGGGCCCTGGCGATTTGGGCGACGGCCCTGGCCCTGCCGAAGTAGCGAGGGTAGCCCTGCCGAGTGCCTCGGCGCGGGATTTTCAAGCCAGCGGGGACGTCGGGCCAATCCCCGTCGAGGACACTCCGCCCCCACATGCTGGTGATATTGGCCAGGCAGCCGCTGGGAGTGCGATGCGGTGCCAAGCCCAGGTCCCGGCACGATGCTGCTGCCAAGCCCAATGCCAATTCATCAAATGCGAGCGGTCCGAGTGCGGCCGGCCAACTGCGGGGGCACACCCGCGACTCGCCAGCAACGCGTTTCGCCCGCGTGGCCGAATGCGAGCCGCCTGCCGGCAGAGGCGTTGACGCGTTAAGTTCCCAGGTGCTTCAGTTAGCCAGCCAGGTTTTACGTTCTTTGCCGCCAGGTGCATTGTCAGTGTGGGTGCAGCGTTGGCTCCTCCGTTTAAGTTTAATGCCCAATGCTTGCGTGCAGTTGCCAGGCCCAGTCAATGACTTTATTCGTGCGCGAGTTTGTTTGCACGCGGCCCCCCCAGCGCAGCTGCCAGCGTCGCTCGTCAGCTGTGTGATTCGATCTGCGCGAAGGCGCAGATCAATCTGGAGTCGCCTGCGTGCCATCGAGTCCGAGGGGCGCTCGGCATTCTGCACTTCACCGTCCAGCGCGATGGATATCCTGCTGCGTGCTCGGCGTTTGTGATCGCGCCGCGTGGTTTCCGGAAGACAATGGCGAATTGGATTTGGCCCAGCCCCTCGCCCCACCATTCCCCGCCCTCATCAGCCGATCGCCCCCCCCGATGGGGATGGATGTCTTGCGTGGTCTCGGTGCCCTCCGCGGACCTCTCGGGGTGTTTGGCAAAGCTGCTTAATGTCCTCCTCCCCCTCGTCCGCCGCCTCCTCCTCCCCTTTCTCCTACCCATCCGTTATCTCCCTCAGCTCTTCTCCCCGCTTCTCCTCCCCCATCATCGTCCTGATTGTCTTCCTCCCCCGTCCGAGCCTCGCGCTCGCCATGTGGGGGCGGGGCCTGAGCAAGCGTGCGGGGTATAAAGCCATCCCGTCTTAGGGTGTGGGGGGAAGGGAGGGGTGGCTGCAGTTTCAACATTTGCTTCAGCATCGGGGCGGACGTGGGCGAGCTTCCCCCCACCCCAGGTCACCTCTCAGAAGCGCGTGCATGGCCAAATGTTGGATCGCAGCTTGACCGAGCCATCGTGCAATTCATTCCCCTGGCTGTCCTGTCGCGGAAGCCGATCGGGGCACGCATTGGGGGCGGAGGTCGGGGGGATCATGCTATTGAGGGGGGTGGGGGATAACGAGGCGGGGGGATGTCTCCCAGGGGCCTCTTGGCCCCGAACTGTATCCCTCGGGCCGCGGCCCTCGGGCTCTCGGGGCCCTCGCAACTTCTCATTGGCGATGCGAGCACTTCCAGCCGCCCGCGTGGAATGAGAAGGATTGGGTGTGACCGCAGCGGTTTCAGCACTGGCGACGTCCGATGTCGGCCGGCCCCGAGTACGTTTGGGGTGCTTTTCGTGTAATCGAGCTGGCGTTACGCGGCGCCTCCCGATCGGGCGTCGGGAAGCGTGGGGGAGGAGGTGCGTCGCCGAGCCCACGATCGGGGGGCGCTGCCGAGAACTCGCTCGAGCTCGGGGCGGCGATTGCAATGCAGGGCGGGCCCGCCGATGCCAGTTCGGATGCGCCCGACTCGGGCGCGCGCGTTCATCGGCGTCGGTCCCGCTCGCCACGGCGCCCGCCATGCCGACGGCGCCCGCCGACGGCGCCCGCCGCCGTCGTTCCCAGCGCCTCGGCGCCACCCAACGCAGCTGAACAACTCGCAGGGCGTGGGCGCGAGCTGGGCGCGCCGCGCGGCTCGTCGGGATCTGGCGGCGCCCGCCCGACGTTGGCCCGGGATCTTGGGGGGGTGGGGGTGGGGTGTGGGGGGGGGGGGGGGGGCGCGTTGTCACTGGGAGTGTGTGTGTGTGTGTATGTGTGTGTGTGGTGTGGTGTGGGTGTGGTGTGCGTGTGCGTGTGCGTGTGTGTGCGTGTGCGTGTGCGTGTGTGTGTGTGTGTGTGGTGTGTGTTGTGTGTGTGTGTGTGTGTGTGGTGTGTGTGTGTGTGTGTGTGTGTGTGTGTGTGTGTGTGTGTGTGTGCGTGTGCGTGTGCGTGTGCGTGTGCGTGTGTGCGTGTGTGTGTGTGTGTGTGCGTGTGTGTGGGGGATATCCGATAGGGTTAGGCGCCTGCGTGGTAAATCGCGCGAGGGGGAGGGGGGGGGCGGGGCGGGGGGGGGTCAAAGAGTGTGGGGGTGGAGGGGGGATGGTCTGCGAGGGCGGTGGGGAAGGTGGAGTGGGCGGGGGGGGGCAGTCAACCGCGTCGCGGTGCTAGAGGAGGACTGGCCTGGGCGAAGACAATGTTTCTGAGGTTGGGGAAGGGGGCTCCTTGATCTCGGGGGCGCCCTTGTCGGTGATGCTAGCGGGCGGGCCGCGGGGCCCGCCGACGGCGGTGGCGATGAACCGAGCCCCGCGGATGACCAGATTGAGATTGCTGGGTGTTCTTCGACATCAGATTGAGAGCTGCGTAGGGCCCCGCAAGGTAGCCAGGGCTGTTGCCAGCAGCTAGCAGCTAGCTTAGAGCGCTCTTTGAGGATCAGTCGGCTGGGTGCGATTGTAGGGCCCCATTGCGCATGGACCTTTCGTTTGCCGCCGTCGTCTCGGACAGCGTGGTTGGAAACTGAACGGCAAATGGTGCGTGCCCCGCCCCATAGAGCGCCACCGTTTTTGTGTTCCGTTCTTTAATTTGGGAAGGGGCCGCGCTGTAACCGAACGTTTTGTCTGGGTGGTTTGCCACCGCCCCCTCCTTATACCCGCCAAGCGGCGTGCTCGTCAGCAAGCGCTCGATTAGCAGCGCAGCAGGGGTGATGCGCCAGTGCATGGGTGCGGGGGCGCACCATTGCATTGCAGCGCGTTGCGCTGGGATAACCTGGCGCGGCATAACCAATGGGTAGCGCGTGGCATCCCTCGGCATAGCGCCGCATAGCATCGCACAGTGTCGTGATGCGTGGCGTTGTACATCGCAGCGTTGCATTGCGGTGGGCATGTCGCTAGTCTTCCCGAACTGTGCGCCGTTGTATGGCGCGGCGCTTGCATTGTCTTGCATTGCGTCGCATGCGATCAGGGGTCTGTGATGGCGCCTGCGGCTCCTGGCGGTCGCCGCTGCCTTGGTTGAGCGGGTTGGCCCAGCACAGGATTGCCAATGTGGTGACGCCCCGTTGCATGTTGGCTCAAACTTTCAGCTTTCATCCGCGCTTTTGCGCTGGGCCAGCGCATCCTGTGCGCTCGAGCATGACGGGCCACGCTTGCTACGGTTGCCATGGGTGCCCGCGAGAGGTCGGCAGCTGCCGCTGCGGCGCAGGGGCATGAAGATGATAGCATGGGCTCAGGTGGCGAGCAGGTGGCCGCCCAGCCGCGGCGGAGAGCGAAGCTTGACACATCCGACAAGGTCAGTTGCGGCTTGTGCGGGGCGAAGCGCTGCGACCCGAACGTGCAGTGCCCCGAGGCCCCGAATGATGCTGGTGAGGTTAGGCGAGTTGGGTATGGGTGCGCGTCGTGCTGGGGCCCATTCCAGAGAGTCTTCAGCAATGAGACTACATGGACCAAGCATTGCGCTAGGCAGAAGGGCGACGCCAAGTGCAAGAAGCGGGTCGAGAACGCGAAGGACATTTCGAAGGATCCAGAGAAGGCCAGTTTCGAGCAGGAGGAGGTCAACATCGTCGCCGAGCAGTGCTACACTACGATCGGGAACTATGTGTGCATCAAGCCCGAGCATCTAGAACAACAGGCTGGCGGCGGTGTCACCGTGGGGGCGGCCGACGTCCTGACCCAGAGGGTCACCGTGGGGGCGCCGCTGACGAAGCAGAAGCTGAAGACCATCTGCGTCGCGCACCCCGAGAGGCCGCCCGTGGAGGTGCAGACTTTCACGACGGTGAAGTGCCAGAAGGTCGCGCGCACGCTGCCGCGGAGGGCAGCGCTCGCAGACGCGCAAGCCCAAGTGGAGATGAAGAAGGCGCTGGCCGAGGTCACCAAGCTGTTGCCCGTCCCGCTCCGCGGCCACGAAAAGCCGCCCGACGTCGAGTCGTTGGTGAACCAGTTGCAGGGGGCCAAGTCTGCGCTGGGTGCTGGCGGATTGCCTCGTGGCAGCAGTGCGGGTGAGGTGTGCGAGGGTCTCGGCGGCCCCGCCCTGTGTCTCGCGCGAGCCCCCTTCGAACGCTCTCGGCGCCCCGCCCCGTGTTTTCCCCATCCCATCTCCCCGACGCCAGGGGCGAAGGGCTTGTCATGCGTTGTCCTGGGTGTGGTTCGGGGGCCAGTGGCGTGCAACGGCGCGCCATGCGAGGGCCCCCCCCCGCGCGTTGGCGACGTTCAGATGCATGAGCTCCGCCATTGATTTTGTTTGTGCGCGCTGCCTGCGCGGGCGTGCGCGCCTGGCGGGGCAGACGGTTCTGTTTGAGTTCCGACGTTTCTGGTGTGGGGGTGGGTCGGGCCTGGAGAGATCGAGTCGCGAGGTCGCTCGGGCGGGGGCTAGCGCGGGCGCTGCGAGGGGGGGGGGGGGGGCGCTGGAATCCTCGAGGTGGTGCCGCCCGCTGTCGGTGCCACGGGGGCGCTGGCTGACGGGGCCGCTGGCGGTGCGGTGGCGGCCTGCGGGTCTGACGTCGCGGACGGCCGCGCCGACGGGGGCAGCGGCGACGAGCAGGGCGCGGCCGCGGAGGTGGCCTCGAAGGCGGGGCCAGCCGCCAGCGTTGCCCCAACTGCCACTCCCAGCCGCGCGCCATGCCGGCGCGCCCCGCGGAGAGGTGCATCGCGGGGTGCCCCGTCAGGCCGCGGCGGTGCAGTCAGTGCCGTGAGCGGGGGTCGCCGAGGCGGCGGTCAGTTAGCATTCTCCCCCGCGGCCCATGCCGAGAAGACGCGCCTGGGCGAGTTCATCCACGACAACCAGCTCTCGTAGATACTGGATGGCCACAAGATGGGCGACCGCTTCTACGCCCTGCGCCGCTTCACTCCCCAGGGGCGCGGAGTCGAGATCAACGGGGTCGAGCATTTAGCCAAAGTTGACGCGGCGATCGCTCTCCACAAGGGCATTGCCACGATGACTGCCAGACAGAGGGCGGAGCAGATCGAGATCATTGGAAACGGCGACGTGCTGGACGCCAGCGGCTTCTTGGACCAACTGATCTGCAAAGTCGTGGGGGAGGCTGACTCTGGCGACGATGTTGCCAGGGCGATCTTGCCGTGGGCGCCTGCGGATGCCGACTCCTCAACCACCTTCCAACTCAAGCGCCCGCGGATCAGTTTCCCGCGCATGAGCAACGCGGATAAGGTCGTTGCGTGCAGGGGGTCCTTCTTCAACGCGTTCCTGGCAGAGGTGGCTGCCAAATGTGAGGAGTCGGTCAATCTCGCGAGGGAGGGCGCGGCAGAGTTGCGGGCGTAGGGCTGCAGTGTCTTAGACGAGAAAGAGACGCACATCGAGTGGGTCAGTGCCGCTACGGCGCTGCATGTTGCTGCTGAGGCCCTGCTGGTGATATCGAACACAAGCCCCAACGCAGTTGATCAGGTGACTGATGGAGCCAACGTCAGGGAGATGTTGAACGGCACGTTCAGCAAGGATAGGTCCCTTTTCCGCGACAGCTTGATGTCCAACACCCACTGGGCTTGCTTGACCACCGAATACCTAGACCATGCCCTCAGCGACCTCCAGGTAGGGCCCGACATAGTCACAGCTCTGGCCATGGTGAGCGTCGGCAGCGACCTTGCAGCAATGGTCAGTGCATCAAGCCGCCTTAAGGGGTGGATCGAGCAGAGCCGCGCTGGCGCTACAGCCGACTTGGAGAAGGCCTTCGCCCAGTGGGTTGTAAATGTTACGTCTGCCGGCGCAGCGCCCACGTTCACGTGCGAGAGTGTCGGGCAGGTCCGCGAGGTCACGTCCAACCGGATTTCGGCCGCCAAGGTGAAGAAATCGTTCGGCGTCTTGCAGGTGGCTGCGCTGGCGGCATCCGAGGAGTCCATGGAGCTGGCCCAGGCGAAGATCGGCGTCGAGAAGAAGCGCGACTCGCTCCTGGACCGCATGAGGGGTTGCACCGCGGAGACGGGGCATCAATGGGTGTCCCGCGGCCCGCCGCCCTACCCCGCCCCATGGAACATTGGCCTCCAGGTTCGCATGGGGCCCAACGGTTGGGCCCCTATGGCGTGGTCCCATGGCCGCTCTGCCTGGTGGTCTGGAGCTCCCGCCCAAATGGTTTCGTCTCGGGGGTCGGCTTATGCGCGCCCTTAATGGCGGTGCGCATGAGGTGGGGGGCGTGGCGGAGGAGGGGCACGAATCGCGAGTCAGGGAAATCGGGGGGGTGGCACAGAGGTGAGAGGAGGAGGTGGATAAGGATGAGGAGGGGGGGGGGGGGGGGATGGGGGGGGGGGGAAAGGGGAAAAGGGGTGGGGATGAGGAGGGGGAGAGGAGGAAGAGGGTCGAGGCGACATGCGTACCTTGCGCTTCTTTCGGGCACCCCAGGCCCGCCCCCCCCCCCCCCGCCCGCCGGGGGGAGGGCGACGTCGGGATCCGCGGCATGTTCGAGCTGAAGACGGTGCTGAGCGACTTGAAAGGAGAGGTGTTCGGTGGCGAGTCCAACGCGAAGCTGTTCGAGGATCGCTTGGCTGCCCTGGCACACCTGATCATGACCGCCCCCTCTGAGGCTCTCGGCGCTGAGGACGCCGCCGAGATCTCGCAGCAAGTCGAGACAGCGATGCTCTGCGCCAACGTCGTGCGCTCCGACTCCCGCACCAAAACGATGAACAACGCGTCGAAGCTCCTTGGCCACTACAAGGTCTGCTGCAACGTGGCCACGAATCTGCTCTCCCTGACGGACATTGGCGACGTCGGCCAGCAGGTGGCGTCTGGGGGCGGGGCCGCGAGCGATGGTCTCTCTTGGGCGCGAGCCTGAAGCATCTGGACACGCCACCGCCAGATTGCGAATCTATCGGGCTCGTCGATGGCGTGCCGACGGTCGCTGAGATTAACGACGTGTGGGGTCGCCAGGTGCAGGGCGCTCGGGATGCGATCTCGGCGTTTGTCGGCGAGATCGGTGGCGCCATCGGGACCGACGTGTCAAGCATATCCAGGAGTTGATCACGCGGCTGCGTGGCGGCATGGGCGACGGCGCGAGCTGGAAGGACGGGCTGGCCGACGGCGACAGCTACGACGAGGTGCACACCCGCGCGAAGACCACCCTCTTCAAGGGCAAGAACGGCACGCTGCTGAACAAGACGCTGGGCGACTACAAGTGTGCGACCGACGAGGCTCGCAAGCATAGTCGGAAATGCAACATCATGGACCGCGTGAACGACCTGACGGAGCCCTTCAAAGCGACGCTCGCGGAGGCAAACGCCGCGATCAACGAGGCGGCGCTGATGAAGCTGATGCGCAAGAAGCCATATGAGTGCCGCGATGCCGTCGCTCGGGAGTTGGACGCGGTCGCCGACCGCGGAGTGTCCGCCGCCAAGCTGCTGGCCCAGATCTACGAGGTGGCGGTGGCGACCAAGCCTGCCTAAAGACAGTCCAGGCCGACCCTGGCCCGCGGCAGAAGCCACCCTGCCGCCGGGGCAGGCCACGAACAATCATCATCGCATCCATCTGTATCATTCATCTTACAACATATCATGCATCTCCATTCGGTCATCTTTCATCTAACCATATTTCCCCTACTCTTCCGCCTCGTTACTTTCTGTTCCTCTCCTCCTCCTCCTCTCCCTCTCGCTCTCTCGCATTCGCCTTGTCACTTTATCCTCCCTTGCCTTCTCCTCCTGCGTGCATATCCCTCCCTCCCTCTCCCCCTCTTCCTTGTCCGATTCGCCTCCCACGTGCAGTTGTCAGTTGAAGCTCGGGTCACGTAGGCAAAAGGCGACTTCTGGATGTGATCTGGCTTGCGCGAGCCCATGCGTGAACGCAGTGCCCATTTTGTTGCTGCGCCTGTCGCGACGTGAATCTCCCAAGAGGTCAGGGCATAAGAAACGATTTGAAAGCGTCGTCGCGCACGGGCCCCAAACAGTGGCATGATCCAGTTGTTTCGGCCCTCGTGTGTCCCAAAATCGAGTTCTTCAGGGTTTTATCGGTAGTTGGGCGGCCCGAAAAAGCAGGCCATCAAAACTAGACGTCGTCGGGGCCATCAAAACCCATGAACGCAACATGGCCTCCTTACGCAGGCCCGAAATTCTCAATGCTTGGCGGCGGGCTCGACCTAGCCAGGTCGCAGTTTTGGCAAGTACAGATTTCAGCGGCGCAAAGCCGCGACCCTGGAGGACCACCCCCCATCATCCCCGCAGAGGTATCAGCGGGGACGGACCATCATGTTGCGCAACCTGAGGTCCACGTAGGACCCCACCCTCCCTCGGCCTTTGCAACTTCGAAGGACCCACCCACCATTTCGTTGTCTTGAGCGGCGGTTAGCTGCGACCCTGGAGGAACCAATGACCACTTCCCCTGTCCCACGGGTGCGGGGCCAGACCGAGGGGAGGGGCGGCGTTCCCCCCGCTTCTCCCCTCTGGGGCCAGGCGGGTGTCCCCCGCTCTTGGCCCCGGGGCCCGGCAGACGTACTGTCCGACGTCAGTGTTGTTGCCCCCCGTCCTAGGGCCGCCCGTGTCCCTCGCTGTGCGTGGCTTGTCTCATCTATCTCAGCGGCGGTTAGTTGCGACCCTGGAGGACCACGTGGTGTTTGTTGACGTTCCGGGAGTTTGGGCGGAAGTGCTGGCGGCGGGCTGGGTCTGACTTTGCGTCTGATGGCCCTCGTGTCTACCACTGCGCAGGTCCCCCCAGGCGCATCGCCTTATGACATCGGCACGCCCCGCTCGCACTGGCGCCACGTGCCCCGGGAGGTACAGCTCGACCTGTTCTCTTGGGGAGTCGCCTGCTCTGGTCCAGTTTCGCCGTCAGGGCATCACCACCACCAGTGCAGCTCCCCCTACTCTTCCTCGCTGGCGATGCTGACCACGCCAGCGGTTTCCCCCCCCCCCCCCCCCACTCAGAGGCCCCGCATTGCCGGCACGCGCTGCGTGGCTCATAGTCGCTCGGTTCCTTCTTGCGCTGTGGGGTGGTCTGACAGGGGCTGGCTTCGTTGCAGAGTGGTGCAGCATTTCGCAGCAGGTACAGCCTTCCAGGCTCTCCTTCAGCTTCCCCAGTTGCGTTGCACCACCGCTCACGACTGCTCAGCCTTTCTGGCTAGCTCAAGTCGTCAGGGCGTTTGGAGCCTGGCGCCCCACTGGCGACTCACTCCAATGGCCTTCTACTTGTCATCACCCAGCCTGACGGACTTGACCATCCTGGTCCACGTCTCTACTGTGAGGGTTGTGCCGTGGCAAGCACTGAATTCCGAGACACTTTGTCCTGTGCACGCGCTCGAGCTCTCAGGGCGCCGTCCGCCGTCAGCTCCTCGTCTTCAGCTTCGCGGCTGCTGTCTCAGTGGGCCGGCCAGCCTGCGCCCGCTGTAGCTAATGCGCTTAGTTCGCGTCCTGGACTTTGCTCTTGCCGCCTGATCGTCGTCTCGCGGCAGCGACCAAAAAAATATCCCCACCAGCCCATCCATAATTGATTGCCAGTTTTCTTGAGGCCTCTTGGAGGCTATGTTGAGCCATGCTCGGATAGGGGCTGTCGGGGGCTATCTTGAGCCATGCTCGGCTATCTTGGGCCATCATGAGGCTGCCTTGAGGCCTCTCGGAGGGCTGTCGGAGGCTATCTTGAGCCATGCTTGGCTATCTTAGGCCATTTTGAAGGCTGTCTGGGGCTCTCTTGGAGCCGTCTTGGGCCAAAAAGGGCGGGGTGGAGGGTCTTTGGGAGAGGCTGGGAGGCCTCTTTGGGCCATCTTGGGCCACATGGCTCAAAAAGAGGAGGTCCCTCAATTAGTACCGCCCCCTCGGAGGCTCAAAAATGGCGTCTTGGGGCTCTCTTGGGGCGCTCTTGGGCGCCTCTTGGGCGATCTTGGGGCCGTCTTGGGCCTTCTTGGGCCCCTCTTGGGGCTCTCTTGGGCCATCTTGGGGCCACCTTGAGGTCCCAGAGGCCCATCGGACGCGAAAAGGCGATAATGCCAAACACATTGATTCCCTAAGCTTTTGAAGGGTTTTGGCGTGTTGGAGGGCGCCGTGGAGGGCTCGAAGGGCACTTGGATCCGTCCTGCGGCTGTCTTAGGGCCTCTTGGAGGTATGTCGGAGGCAATCTTGACCCATCTTGGAGTACTTTTGCCATCTTGGAGGCCATCTTGCGACTTGGAGCGCCTCTTGGAACCATCCTGGGCCATCTTGGACGCTGCGGCGCCTCCGTCCCTCCCCCCCGGTCCAGGGGACGGGGTAGGGGGAGGGGTCAAGACCCCCTCCCCGCCCGCAAGCCGTCTCGCTCATTCCCACCTGCCCTCCCAACACATACGTAGCACCCGAGTCTGGTCTGAGCCTCAGCATATTCAGCAGTCGTCTTTGGATGGGCAGCTACTGGGGGCCAGTCCGCCGCCGCCGCCGCCGCCGCCGCCGCCGCTGCCCGCCGCCGCCGCCGCTGCCGCCGCCGCCATCGCCGCCGCCGCCGCCGCCCCCCGCTGCCAAACCGCCGCCGCCGCCGCAGCCGCTGCCGCCACCGCCACCGCCACCGCCGCCGCCGCCGCCGCCGCCGCCGCCGCCGCAGCCGCCGCCGCAGCCGCCGCCGCAGCCGCCGCCGCCGCCAAGTGTACTGTGTATTGTTTTTGACGGATGGTGGGGGGGGGCCGCATCGGGTTGGCTGCGCATGTTCCGAATTTGGAGGCATAGTGTGTTTTGTAGTGTGTTTTTACAAAAGGGATGGTGGGGGGGTGTCGTCATGGACCCTGGTTGGCCCCCAGTCGCCTGGGGGAGGGGGTGTTTATTGATAGGGAACAGTGATAAACCCCTCCCCCGAGCAGGGGAAGGAGGGGGAAGAGAGAAGAACAAACTCGCTACACCACCGTAGCCCTAAAGGGCTGGTGGGACTTCAACGCTCGAACCCTCAGGGCGGCGGGCCCTCAGCACCTCCAACCTTCGGGCCGCGACGTGGCGCGCGAGGGTATGAGGAGGAAGCCCCCGCGGTTCTCTGCGGACGTCGACGCCGAGCCGGGCATGCACGAGATGTTTTGTTCGAGGGGCAGAACCGTGGCGTCCGCTGCCTGCGCGTGGCGAAGGACGCCAAGACCCTCAGGCAACCTCGCTGCCAGCACGCTGTCGGCCACCGACTCTGGCAGGCCAGCCCGTTTGTCGTTTGTGGCGCGTGCGGAGCACATTCGACCAGCACTGTCGCGGTCAGTGCGTGAGAGGCTCGACGGCGCAGGGTCGTCTTACCAAACTCTGGCAGGGCTTTCGCCCTCGGACGGGCCTGCGACTGACTCTGTTTTCGGGTCTTTGGCCCCGTGTCCCGTTCGGCGCGTTTGCCCTGGATGCCAACCTCGGGGACCTTGAGGTCCTGCATGATTGGTAACTCCCGCAAGCCGAGTCGCGCATTTTGCGCGTAGAGGCGCACGGAGGCTGATTCGCGTTGCGCGTAGAGGCACACGAGTGTTCGCGTCGTGGAGGCACGACTGTCGGTGCCTACGGCGGACTTCCGCCACCTGCAGCGAGGATGTGGGCTGTCTGACTGCCCTGCCCTCTGCCCCTTGATAAACTACTCATTTTCTCCTCGTTCCAGAACCGCTGGAACCCGCCGCTGGCGCCCCTTCCACCCCTAAGCGGGTCCGCGGCGAGCCGCGGCGCGCGTCCGTCCAGAGTCGACCGCCGCGGCGCCCCCCTTTTGCCGCTCCCTTGTTTGGGGCTCGGCGCAGCGCCGCAGCCGATTGACCATCGGGCGTGGCCAGCCGAGGGGCGCTGCTCGGGCGAAGCTCGCCCGCGCCTGCTGACAGAGGCTGGGGATCAGCGGAGGTGCCGAAGGACAAGAAGGGAGGCAAAAGGGGAGAGGCCGCAGCGCCGTTCCGAGCCATCCGCGCCCACCTCCGAGTTTTCATGTCTATGTCTTTGTTCGTTCCCCCACCTCCATTCATCAGGCCTCTAATCATGCCCCCATCTGGGAGGCCTCTGATCACACCCCGCCCTCCGCCCGCGAGGGATACCATCCCCCGTGCTCGTGGCGGCTCGCTCTTCGTGCTGGATGCGGCGCGCTCGCTGTCTCTCTCGGCCCTCTCGGCCCCTGCCTCCGCCGCCTGCCGCCGCCGCCGCCCTTTGTGGTTTTCGGCGCCCCTTTGGCTCTCGGCACCCCTTTTCGTTTTCGGCGCTCCTTTTGGTTTTCGGCGCCCGTTCGGTTTTGGGTGCCCTTTTGCTTGTCGGCGCCCCTTTGGTTTTCGGCGCCATTCTGTTTGTCGGCGCTCTTTTTGGTGGCGCCTCTGTGGCTTTCCCCTTGTGTCCTCGCCCAGTTCTGCTGAGAAATCCGTGGTGTCCCTTGCCCCCCCTCGCTCTCTTGAGCCCTCGCGCGTCCTCGCAGCCAGTGTGCGCGTGACCCTCCCTGTCTGACCGACCCCCCCCCTCTCTTCTTGATGCCTGGCCGCGATCCCAGGGAGGTGTGCAGGACGCGCCTTCCC